TCCCATTTCCCCCTCCCCAGGTTTCCTTGTTAGAGTTCTGCAATAATCCCTTCTGAAGAAACTTATCAATTTTTCAGGTCAATAGGTCCATTTGTTCCAAAAATTATTCCTTCATCACTACGGCTTAGAATTACACAAATACAGCTGTTCCTTTTTTACTGTTATCTTCTTTAGAAACATTGTGCAGTAATTCCACGATTTCTTCACACGTAAGATCATTTTTATTCCTAACTTCATATTTCAAGTTCACTGATGTTTCTCTGAGGTTCACTGTGTCTACATCTGTCCTAGACCAAGTGCCGTTCCAGTGCTTTTTATCAAAGTTCTTATTAATTATTACTCAGAAACCCATTTCAGAATAATTCATTTTGTAACTATTGTCCAAGGATATACCAGAATCCATTGATTTACTTCCATGTATGATCTTTGTTTCAAATTTTCTTAAGGGCTTTGAGCCCACTGAGTTTTCAGTGTTTCACAGCTCCATGCAGCAGAACCTACTGCTTTGCTTCACTTCTGCCCTGGGCAGCCTAAAGAGGTGAGGGGGCTAACATATCTGAGAACTTTTGCCTCCACAAAAACTTGTGCAAAAATTATAATAGCTGTATTCATAGTTTTCAAAACTTGGAAAAAATCAGTATGTCCTTTAGTAGGTGAAGGGATAAACTGTGTATATTCAGATAATAGAATACTATCCAGGGCTAAAAAGTAAATATAAAAGCTGCTATGAAGCCATGAAAAGGCATGGAGAGACCTTAATGTATACTACTAGGAAAGGCTACATACAACATGATTTCAACTATGTGACATTCTAGAAAGGCAAAGACATGGACACAATAAAAAGAACAGTGGCTGCAAGGAATTACAGAAGAGGGATTGATCCAGAATCTATAAGTAACTAAGAAACCTCAATACTAGAAAATAAAAACCGGAATAATCTGATTGAAAATGAGAAAAATAACCTGAATACACATTCCTCCAAAGAACACATAGAAATGACCAAGAAGTATATGAAAATCAACGTCACTAATCATCAGAGAAATGCAAATCCAAACACAAAATTGAAATCATCTCATACACATTTGGACAAATTGTATTTTAAAAATATAAGAAATAACATGTTGGTGAAGATGTGGAGAAGAGAGAAGCCTCGTTCACTGTTGGCAGGAAAGTAGATTGGTGCAGTGCGATGGTTAATCTTGATTATTAATTTGATTGGATTGAGAAGTGATTAGAAGATTAGTAAAGCACACCTCTAGATGTGTCTGTGAGTGTGTTTCCAGAGAAGATTATCTGAGGTGGGGGAAGACCTGCCTTGAATGTGTGTAGCACTATCCAATTAGGGTAGGGGTCCCAGTGGGATAAAAGAGGGAAAAGGAGAGGGAGCTAGGACAGACATTGTCTCAGCTTCCTGACTACTCTGAAGTGAGCTTCTCTGCCACACACTTCCCACCATGATAGACTGAAACCTCTGAAACCGTTGAGCCAAAATAAATAATTCTTTTTATTGTTTTGCTTTGTTTTATTTTTCATTTTATCATTTTTACATTTACTCACATCTCACATGTGTATATGTTGTTTGGGCCACCTTTCCCTGCCCCCACCTGCTTCCAGACAGAACCTGTTCTACCCTCTTGTTCTTCAATTTTGTTGAAGAGACAACGTAAGAGATAATAAGGAAGACATAGAGTTTTTGCTAGTTGGAGATAAGATAGTTATACAGAGAGATTCCTAGCGTTGCCTCCATGCACTTGTGCATTGCAACCCACATGGTTCATCTCTATCAGACCTCTTCACTACTACCTGGTCCACTTCCCAGAGTGGCTTCTGCCAGTTTAATATTACTACATTTGCTCCTCTACAATGAGCACATCAACCACATTTAAGTTTTAAGTTTCCTTTCCTATCCCTATTCCTCCCATACACGTTCTCCCCTTAGTGTGTGACCCATCTACAATAGTACTACTGCATTTATTTCAGAGCTATAATCCACATATAAGAGAGATTTTTGGCCTTCTGAGCTTGCCTAACTATGCTTAAGATGATGTTCTCCAGTTCTATTCATTTACTTGTGAATGACAAATTTCATACTTCTTTGTGGCTGAATAAAATATCATTGTGTATAAATACCATATTTTCTTAATCCATTCATTGGCAATGGGGTATCTTGGCTGTTTCTATAGCTAGGCTATTGTGAATAGTTCTGCATGGGTATGCAGGTGCCTTTGTGATAACCTGAGTCGCATTCCTTTGGGTATATCCCTAAGAGTGGTATTGCTGGATCATATGGCAGATCTGCAGGAATACTCTAGAAGCAATAGGTATAAGCAAGGACTTCCTCAGTAGAATTCCAGCAGCCTAACAACTAAGAGAAAGTGTGGACAAATGGGACTACATGAAATTAAAAAGCTTCTGAACAACAAAAGAAATGGTTTCTAAATTGAACAGACCACCCAGAGAGTGGGAGAAAAAATTTGCTAGTTATAAATCAGACAAAGGACTGATAACCAGAATATACAGGAAGCTCAAAACACTAAACTTCCCCCAAATCAATGAGCCAATAAAGAAGTGGGCAACTGAATGAAACAGAACTTTTTCAAGGAAGAGTGCAAATGGTCAAAAGGAACATGAAAAAGTGCTCACCATCCCTGGCCTTACAGGAAATGCAAAACAAAACCACACTAAGATTCCACCTCAACTCCTATTAGAATAGCTATCATCAAGAGCACCACCACCAACAAATGTTGGCAAGGATGCCGGGAAAAAGAAACACTCGTACACTGCTGGTGGGAATGTAAGCTAGTACAACCTCTTTGGAAAACAATCTGGAGGCTTCTTAAAAAACTAAACAAAATAAATAATTCTTTACATTAAGTAGTTTTCTCAGAGATTTTGTTACAGCTAAGGAAAGCTAACTAACACAAGAAGTCATTGTTTTAGCTAACTAAAACAGAAGGTTCCTCAGGTATTGAAAATAGAACTACCATATCATTTTGCAATCCCTCTTCTGGGTATATACCCAAAGAAAATCGAATCACAACTTCTTGAAGGTATCTGTACTCCGAAGTTCATTACAGCACTCTCCACAATAGCAGAAATATGGAAACAACCAAAGAGTCCATTGATGGATGAATGGTTAAAGAGAATATGGTATAGATAATAAATATAATATTAGATATATGTAATACTCCATTGTGTGTGTGCATGTATGTGCATACACACACACAATGGAGTATTATTCAGATTAAAATAGGAAGTCATTTGTGACAATATGGATGAACTTAGAGTACATTATCCTAATATCAAATATTGCATTATCTCAGTTAGATGAGGAACCTACAATATTCTAACTCATAGAAGCAGAGAGTAGATTGTGTTTCCAGGAACTGGGGAAGACAAATGGAGATACTGGTCAAAGGATACAAATTTTGAGTTATGCCAGATGAGTAAGTTCTTGAGAGATTTAATGTGCATTATGGTGACTTATTGTTAACAATAATGTATTGAATGCTTGAAATGTGCCAGGGTAGTAGATCTGAAAAATACACACACACACAGGATCATTCAACTAGAAACTCATTTCTGTGTTCTCCTATGTGTGTAAACAGTCCTCTTCAGGTAATTGAATGCTCCATGAGCTTAGCAATACTCTGTCTGGGAAGGTTCCTGACAGCATTTTCTAGGACCTGAATATTAAAAGTAGCCTAACTACCTTTCCATCATTACCTTTCTCCTATCGTCCTTATTCTCACAGATAAGTCAACATTTTCTGGTCATGCTATAATACCGAATTACTGGTTACTACAGTTTCTCCAAATGACCCAATCCTTTTGGTATGTTGATATTTTTAATAACATAATTCTTAATGCATACTTAGTGTATGAATTATCCAATTATGCAATTCATACCCATTAAAATTAGGTTCATTCCTGCACCCCCTTCATGAATTATGCTTTCTTAGAAATTACTTTTTCTCCTCATGGCTAATTGATTCAAAGCTGATGTAGAGTTGTAGTTGGAACTTTTAAAATATTTTGCTTGTACTAATTTTAAAATATTCCCATGTATTTTATGAAACACATCTGAAATCTAGTACGTTCTTAATTGATTTTAAATATTACTGTGTGATACTCTTCCAAACTAGAAAGAATGACCTAAAAGAGGGAAAAATGAAGGAGATAAGTTGAAGTCATCAACTTCCTGTGTTGATCTGGGTTTACATGTATTTATTTCCATATCACATATTTACATAGTTCTAGGTTGAAATGATTCTGAAAAGGTAAGGAAGATGGCTTTTGAGTTAGTGATGTGCTAAGTCTAGAATTGCTCGAAAAGAAGTTAAACTCAGACCCTTGTTAAACACTAACTCATTGATAGTATACCTAGAATACCATAAAAGATAACCATTTTAAGGATGCAGATTGATGAGTTTCCATTTGAAACCACCATGTGAATTAGAATCCTAACTGATATTTTCCTTCACTTCAGAAAGATCCTTCATCCGCATTCCTGAACAATCACACTAGGAAACTACTGAGTACATTACCAATCCCATAGATTCCATGCCCTATTCCAGAACTTCACCCAAATTAAATCACAAGTTAAGCACACTGTTTGGTCTGTCTTCTTTCTCTCATATCTGTGAGATTCATCCATGCTCTTGCCATCTATTAGAAATCTGTTCATGTCAACACAGAAAACCATCGCACTGAATACACAAATTTGTTTATCGTTTATTAAGGACTGGTTCTTTGTCTCTGGTATGTGGAATAAACTTAGGAATAATGCTGCTATGAACATTCACAGACAAGAAGAGTCTGTATATAACTTCTTACGAATGAAATCGATTCACAAGATCACGGGAAAGGTAAGGTTGAACTTGGTAAGAAAATATTGATCCACACCTAAATTTTTCCTTTCATGCCATCTGTTTAGTCTTATATTCTATCAATCACCCAACACTTGGTTCAATTTCTAGAAACACTAAAACTCACCCAAAATTCCCAAAAGGAATTCTTACTTCTGTTTAAGCTTCCTATCTTCCTCAAACATTGAATCTTACCTCATATGGCTTTGAGAAAAAAATTCACGTCTGTCCTCACATTCCACCAAGTCTACTTATTCATCCTACACTTATGACTTCCCTTTAGGACATGAGACTTTTTGGCCTAGGTGTACACTATTTTCCAAGTACCTCCCAAATACCCTGGGGCCCTAGGATCCCCATGTCACTGAGCACAGAATCCTCTAAGGAGCACAGCATTGTTATGTAATAGCTTAACCCTCCCCCTTCACATCTCAGGGACTGCCAAGCCAGCAGCCTCACTTTACTCTCCTCCCAGCTGCCCTGATGGGAAAGTCCATGTCTTAGGGATACTCTTGCCTGTCTTCCACTTGACTGCTTGTGCTTTGGTCGAAGGCTCCCCTTCTTCATGGGGCCTGCTTGGGCCCAGGTTCTTTTGACAGGTGCTCTGTGGCTGCCAGTGTTCTGGATGCTCCTGACCCCTGTCTGTTGCTCCCGTGCCCCACCAGGATGGCGCTTCACTTCTTCTGAAGTTGTGATCCCCAGGAAGGTGCCCCGCAAAAGGGGTGGAAGTGACATGCCAGACCAGCTCTCTTATACCATGCGCTTCCGGGGCCAAAGACACGTGATCCATATGAAGCGAAAGAAAAACTTCCTGCCCAGACATTTTCCTGTTATTACTGATAATGACCAAGGCGCCATGGAGGAGAACTACCCCTTTGTCCCTCAAGACTGTTATTACTACAGCTACCTGGAAGGGGTTCCTGGGTCCATGGCTACACTGGACACCTGCTATGGAGGTCTGCGAGGCATGCTGCAGGTGGATGACTTTTCTTATGAAATCAAACCATTGAAGGCTTCTTCCAAATTTGAGCATGTGCTTTCTCTCCTTGTGTCAGAAGAGACTGAAAAGTGTAGTGTTGAAGATGAAGAGACAAATCAACTACTTGAAGAGATACAACTTGCTGAAAGTCCTAGAGCAGGCACCGTCTATTTGTGGAGAAGACACATGAAGCACGTAAAACTTCACTTCACAACTTCTATATCATTAACCCATCAGGACAGAAATAGAACCAGAATAGTAGAGAGGATAGTGATTATGACCAGCATCCTCCATTCCATTTTCAGACCAGTCAATTACAACATTTTTTTAAGGGTTATATTCATCTGGGAAGTTAAAGATATGGTTAACTTATATAAGGGAAATGTTCCAAATGCTGTAAGTGAGTTTGGTTTGTGGAAATGGCATCGTTGGTTCACTCAGATTCCACATTCCACTTCAGTGCTTCTAACAGGACATGAAATTAAAGGAGCCAATTATTTTGCCAATCATAATGGGTTATGCAACCCAAATTGGGGAGCATTATATGTGTATGCAACAAGGTATCACATATTTTTGGCCGCAACTATTGTAGCACATGGATTAGGTCATAACTTTGGAGCGATCCATGATGAACCAGGTTGTATTTGTTATCGAAGAAGCAATTGTGTCATGGCTCAGACGCCTAGTCTTCTAGATATGATGAGCAATTGTACTTATGTGGAACTAATTTCTAGATTTGTTGGGTGGGATACTTGCATGAATCTTCTGAATGTTCCATATCATAATTTTCCTTATATAACTGGTCGTTGTGGGGACAAGGTCAAAGATACAAGGGAGCAATGTGACTGTGGCTCCTTAAAAGAATGTACATTTGATAAGTGTTGTACAACCGACTGCCAATTCACGAGTGGCAGTGTTTGTGACTCAGGAGGTTGCTGCAAAAGCTGTAAACATGCACCCTCTGGGTTTGTTTGCAGAGATATAAATGGTATTTGTGATCTGCCAGAATATTGTAATGGAAAGTCAGAAATTTGCCCAAACGACTATTATATCCAGGATGGAACCCCATGTTCAGCGCTATCTGTCTGTGTGAGAGGAAACTGCAGTGACCGTGACATGCAATGCAAAGCCCTCTTTGGATACCAAGCAAAAGATGGCTCGCCAGAATGCTACAAAAAATTAAATGTAGTAGGTGATCGATTTGGAAACTGTGGGATTAGAATGCAAGATCCGGGAATCTTGCCTTTTAAATGTGAAGAAGATGATGTTTTTTGTGGAATGCTGCACTGTGATGGTGTCAGAGAAATCCCTGGAGGAGGTGAGCACACCACATTTCGTCATATAAAAGTATACGGTGCTAAAGAGGACCATTGCTTTGGATATGATACGCACGTTGGGTCGGAGGTGCCAGAAATGGGGCTTGTAGTAGATGGTTCAACCTGTGGCCCAGCACAATTCTGTCTCAGACAGAACTGCACTTTTCACCAAGACATGCATTTTGACTGTGATGTAAAGAAATGCAATTTCAAAGGGGTGTGTAACAATAACAAAAACTGTCACTGTATGCCTGGTTGGAAACCACCAACATGTCAAGAGGTTGGATTGGGTGGTAGTCCAGAGAGTGGCCCTCCACCTAACGTACAACAACAACGTATTAGAGCCAACATACTTGTGACTACCAACAAGATACTCATTATAATGTGTTTTCGTTTAATTCTTCTGATGTTCACGTTTCTTTTTGGTGGACTCACAAAAAGAAAAAAACTTGTAAAGCGTCGCAAGCGAAAGCGCTGATGTGGAAGTTTTCAAACTGTGTAAACAGAAATGGGAGTCACACCGTGAACAAAATCATACTGTAAATTCCTGGAAGAAATAGTCAATGATCCCCCTCTGAAAATTCCATAGTCATTTTGTGATTTGAGGTTTCATCATGAAATAAAGTCACTGGGAGAGTAGAAATTGGTCTGTGTGTTTAAATTCATTTAGCACTTCATTTCCACTCTCTTTTCAGTTCTGGAAATTAAATCCAGAGACTTGCTCATGCTAGGCAACTCCACTACCACTGAGCTACGGTCCCGGCCATTGTCATATTCTTAATACTACTATAGGTGAGGCAGAAAGTCTTACATTCCCTAACAAGACAAACTATGATTATTTAAGATGTGGGTTCTAAATTTTCTAGATGATGATAGACAGGTCCGAGGTGCTCGGCTACTGTGGTTTCTTGTTCTCTAAACTTTAAAGAACTAAAACTAGGAGCACTGGCAAAGTTAAAGCAGATTTCTTTATAGTTACAAAGCGAAAGCAAAAGCTGCTCAGAGAGTCAAGTAGCAGGGACCCAGAAACCAGTAGTCTGGTGAAATGCTTTGGGTTTCCCCTTTTACCTTTTTATTGCTCTTTTAGCTCCTCCTTTATTCCTCATCCCTCCAAAGTTCGCTGGTCTCCGAAGTGTGCATTTATTGTAGTTTTGTCACCTGTTCTCAGTGTGTTTTTGCTGCAGGTGGGGACTCCTGAGAAATACCACCAAGCCTCTTCTGCAGCTGCAAAGATGGTCTTGCAGTTCCTGCTCACAAATTTAGTTAGGCTGTGTAAAAGCAGCTTGCCCCACAGACTGCTTGCTCAAGGCATGATGTTTATTGCATCAGAGCCAGCAACATTGCTCTCCCTTCACATGCCTCTTATATGGAACTATTTTCTAGATTTATTGGATGGGATACTTGCAAGAGTGTGCTGAATGTTCAGTACCATAATTTTCCTTATTATAACTGGTTGTTGTAGTGACAAGGTTAAAGATACAATGGAGCAAGTGACTTTGGCTCCCTAGAAAGAATGTACCTTTGATAAGTACCCCGAAATTCCAAATTTTTATTGAATTATTTCACACCAGTTTTAACACTGTCACAGTGTTTCCAACTGGTGTGCACAAGCTTTTGTTATTTGTCCATTTTATTGCTATTGTAAAAGTTATAAGCATACTAAGTGAAATTTGTCAATGATACAGATGGAGGACTAAAAAAACTGTGTTTTAGCCATCTTAAATCTCAATAGTGATTCTGAAACTTGCTGTGTAGATGGATATAGACAGTATAAATCGTTCTGACTTTTGTTTACTATATGTAACATTTAGAGACAAAAGAACTTCTCCAAAAGTAATTGATATTTCTGATAGCACCTAAGAAAATCCTGGAATATTATAGGCACTGAATATGTGCTAGCTGCTATCTGTCATCACTCTTATTTTTATTCTTGGGTCATGCTAAACCTGGGATATTCCACATATAAAGCCTTTGACATTTTCTCTTTATTAAACCATCCCATACGGAGTCATGGGCCATAATGTAGCACATTTCTTAATGCCTATGATGATTGAAGGCATGGGATTGCATTAACTAAATACAGCCTGTGTATAAATTATATATGTATATGACATTTACATATACAGACAAAATATAGATGAAAGGAAACTGAAAAAAATCACTTCAGAATAGTTCACTAAAGTAGGATCTAAAGAGTGATAAAGATTACACTTTTTTTTTAAGTAACAAAGGCCTCATGTTCATATCTTAGAGTCTGGATCAGGGATCCACTAAAGGGGAAAGGAAGGACACACAAGCAGAGAATAGGTGAGGTTGCCACTGTGACATTATAGGTTGTCTATATTAGAGCTGTTGACCAGTGTTTCTTGCTCAGATCCCCTATGTGGAAGACTAATGTGGATCTTCATCCAAAATAATTCTGAGAGCCTGTTTACTTAGCATATCTCAACATCCTTAGCTACATTTGCACCTGACACCACTACCTACTAAAAGTAACTAGATGACCATTTACTAAACTAGGCTGTTTTTTCCTGATCTGAAGGCAATTATTGAAACCACACTGTATCCTATTAGGAAGATAGTTATTTTGTTTATGATTGAACAGCCTGTTTGCCAAAGCATGGTAACTGTGGATCTGAAGGCCTTGTTTTCCTATTTCTTCTCCCAATAATTGCTCATAGCCTTATTGATCTTTTTTTTTGTGTGTGGTATTTGTGAAGGACTTTGTTTCCATCAAACTGTTTTATCTGTAGTATGTTTGGGTGTAGTTTTCTCTGTGTTTATTCAAATAGTGAACTTACTGTTACAACTTGAGGCACAATGTGATCTGGTATTTCTAAATAGTATTTGATGATTCCACTCATGAGACATAAATCATAAAGTGTGGCATTGTCAGTGTTAAGCCATGTTTAAAAGCAATATCTACTGATTCCAGGTATTTGAGACAAACTCTTCACACTCTTCTCAACAGAATTGCAGTTATTTACTCAATATGAGGGCAGAACACTTCAGAGTCTCGAGCTCCCATATAACTTTTTACTGTTTAGAAACAGCTGGAAACATGGAGGAGAAGGAGCAAGGAAGCCATAAAGAAGATAAGAGTTATGGCCAATAAGGAAAGTGGGAAAGGGGTGAGGATTAAAAAAAAAAACACAGATGAGAGCAATCCATTGTGAGAGGAAGAATATCAAAGTTGTGAAAAGAAGCCACAAAAATATTAAGAATGGTCAAAAGATTTCTTTGTAGAAATGTTGCTGGAAAGAGCAAAGGAAACAAAGTCATCAAGAACATTTTTAGGAAGCAGAGAATTTTTTATGCTAGCAGACTGAAGAGAAGTAATTTCTCAAAGTCCTGAGCCCCGATCTGGGTCAGGAGCTGGGTTAAATACTTACAGAGTTGGTTTCCAACCCCTACAGAATGTGGTCACAGTGACAGTAAACGTTGCAGAGCTAGGTGAAGGCTTGAAACTTTTCAGAGCTAGCAGAAAGTTGCCTGTAGACCCAGAGTGGAGAAACCAAGGTGACTACCAGACACAGTAAATCCCAGGAAAATAGTCATTCCCCCCTTTGATTCTTCGACATTTTATTTTTCAAAATGTGTCATCTCTTTTATCCTTAGGGATAGGATTTACTTTTTGGTAACCTTGCAACACATATAACTGTGTGTCCAATTTCTGTTACACTATGGCTTCTATCAGGGTTGATATGGACTGCATGACCAGTTTTAGCAAGCACGGGAGTATAAGACAGCCCAATACAGCTCCAAACATTGTTTTAAATCCTCCACTTATAGAGAACCATCCTCTAAGCAAATTGTCAGGATTTTACCCTTTTTCAAGTCTGAACTGGAACATGAGTAATCTTTTTCATTTTATCTGTGATTTTTTTTAGTCCAAGTAGTAAGTAAGCACAACTTATAGGACAAGGGGTTCAGGTTTGCAAAAGGAACCCAAAATAGAAGCAACCAAAAACAATGACATATCCTGCTAGTAGGAGAGAAAAAGAAAACTGTCAGAGAACCCTTTTGATCTGGCTTTACCCTGCTGGGGCAGTTACTGTTATCCCTATTGACCAAAGCAAAGCAAGGTTACAATATCAAGAACAGAGATCAAGAACCTGCAAAGGATGGCAGGTTGAAGTATCACTACAGAACACTATGAGAACCAGAAGCCCATCAATTGTCTGTTTAGTTGATTCCTCAAGCTTCCACCATGAGTTGACTAATCAGCTTCTGGTTTGTGACTAGGGCAAGGCTGAGTGTCCCCTCGTTAAAGTTAGTTTGAGTGGATTATTAGAGTCCAGCTGACTCTCCTACTCTAGAACTGCTTTCTTCACTCTGGTGTGGTGGATCCACGGGGTGATCTCCATCACCTTGAATGTTGTGAGTGTAGTCAGGATCACCGAATAGGCCCCTCTCCATCGAGGCTGGAGAGGCTGAAGATTTTACTCCTTTATCCAAACCCATTCACTCAGCTTAAAGGAATGCACATCAGTGCTTAAGATGATAGGGAGATTTTTTTTCTTGAGCATTGGCAGTGTAGCACCATGTTCCTGAGCCCTTTTCCCAAACAGCACATCGGTTGGAGCAAGGTTAGATTTCTTATTTTTAAAAAAATTTCTCTTAATGCCTTTTACTAGTGGGGTGGCCTTCTAACAAGGAGCACTTAGTGTTGCTGTTGTGATACTGTCAGTCATAATTATTTTCCTAACATGCTGTATGCTTTAAAAATAACTAGATATTCTGATAATTGCTAATTGCTTTTTAGTACTTTAACCAAGCCTATTCTAAGTCTTGTCATTCGACAATCTGGCCCATCTCTGAAAACATTTACAATCAAATTCCCCCAAAATGACTCTAAGAAGTACTTACTTATCAATTGAGTCAGCTTTTTAAATATTTGCTTTTGTTGGATTTTTTTGTATTTTCCTTGTAAAACTTTTAACTGCTGTTTGTTGACATTCTACAGCACTTTTAAGATGTCATGACATCATCTATAAGACAGAATTAAAAATGGATACCAGGTAAGCCCACTTCTAAATCTCTCAGTTGCTTACAATTTGCCAAATGGGTCTTATTTGGCACAGACTCACCCCAGACCTGCCTGTTGTTTCCCCTCCTATGAGATCAGCTTAAACAATCTAGAGGGAAAAGCTAATCTTGATGATGAGAGACTTTCATTAACCATAATGGTTAATTGGCAAAACCTTCAGAGGAAACTGCTCAGAGACAGTTGGAGTCAAGTGGGAAAGCTGTCACAATCTAGATGGAGTCACTTGTGCCAGACCTCACAAAGAGTGAGGTTTTAAAGAAGTATTCTTACACATGGCTACTAGACAGCTAAGCTCTTTAGGCACATCTGATAAAAGGCAAACTCATATTGTGTTGGCCAAGGCCTTCTATTTAAGTAGAGACAAAAAATGACTATTTTTGCTGACTCTAAACACTATTTTAGTCTCATGAAGTTATTTTAAAATAGGT